CATAAAGAAAAAACAAAAAAAAAAAGGGGGGGGGGGGGGGGGGGGAACCAGTGCAGAGGGAATGTATGTGACTGTGAAGTCAACCCTGAAGATCTGACTCCTAGGATTCTCTGGAGCAAGCTGTCAGCGCAGAAAGGGCCTTGGTTGAGGAGAAAGGTGAAGCTATAGGTCACTGGCAGACAGGGCCGGATTTAGTCTTGCTGAGGCCCTAAGCTATACAAAACCCAGAGGCCCCCTACTGTTTTAAATTACATCAGCTGGCCTCAGAAAAATTTAAAATATATACACCTTTTTAATATTTGAAATCATTTTTTATATTGTGTTTTAATTCGAGGCCCCAGCAGATTGCGAGGCCCTAAACTGTAGCTTATTTAGCTTATGCGTAAATCCAGCACTGCTGGCAGAGCATATGCTAAGGCTTGAGATTTAGTCCTTGGCATCTTGTATTAAAAAGGATCTTGAATATTACGTCTGGGAAAGACCTCTCTCTGACGTGTTGTAGAGAAAGAATACAATGATGGGCAGGATGAATTAATGGGGTGTCTGTTTTTAAGAGAAAGAGAGCATACACGGACATGGAACAAGTCTAGAGCAGCGGTCCCCAATGTGTTGCCTGTCGGCTCCATTGCACCTGCTGAAACCTTTTCTGGCACCAGCCAAGTGTTTTTAGAATGTGGGTGGGGCCAGGCAGGGCATTTGCCCAGCAAGGATTCTGATTGTCTATTGGAAATTTGATTGGCTGTGCAGATTTTTTTAAAATGTTGCTTTGGCAGCAGATGCTAGCACAGAACAAAGATCTGCACTGTGTTACTGAAGTTAAGCTGTGGCAATCATTTTGTGGCTGGCTCTGCCTCCTGTGGCAGCCATTTTTTGGCAGCCATTTTCTTGCTGCACTCACTGTGCCATGTCAGAATTCCAAATGTGCCCACAGGGTCAAAAAGGTTGGGGACCCCTGGTCTAGAGTAATGCATAATATACTTCCTTTCCTATGTTCTCTACAGTCACTATGTAAAAAGTAGGGAAGAGGTTATGCTGAAGAAGCAAGGAACAGATTGCACTGTTTTCACTTGTTTGTCCTCCCACTCTCAGTGTGGTCCAGAAACAGCAAACCGGTGCACACTACCATCCTAAACCCGCATATTCACTTAATGGGAGATGAGTCTGCCTGCATTGCTTATATCCGCATCACACAGTATGTTGACACAAGTGGAATCCCTCGCACTGCACAGTCTGAGGAAACTCGTATCTGGCACCGTCGGGATGGCAAATGGCAAATTGTTCACTTCCACAGATCAGGAGCACCGTCTGTTTTACCACAGTGAGTCATTCCTATGCCACAGCAACAACTCCTGTCAGCCAACAAGGAGCCATTTTTTTGTCATCCCAGTGGAAATGAACTATTCAGTTCTGAAATGTAAACAGAGGTATGGGTTTAGGGGTTAAGTGTGCGGACTCTAATCTGGGAGAACCGGGTTTGATTCCCCACTCCTCCTCTTGCACCTGCTGATGTGACCTTGGGTCAGTCGCAAGCTCTGGCACAGCTGTCCTTGAAAAAGAGCAGTTTGTGTCAGAGTTCTCTCAGCCCCACCCACCTCACAGGGTGTCTGTTGTGGGGAGGGGAAGGGAAAGGAGTTTGTAAGCCGCTCTGAGACACCTTTGGGTAGTGAAGGGCGGGGTATAAATCCAATCTCTTCTTCTTCTTCTTCTTTAAATAAAGGTAGGAGTATAAAGAAGGCAGTGCTCCTCATCCTCCCCCCCTCAAAAAAATTCTGAAAGGTGAATATTGCTATGGGAATGGGAGTCTCTGTTCACCTATGAAAACACAGGTTGCATTCAAAGATGATTGTAAACTGTGGTTGGATCAAATCCCTGTCAGCGGTGATGTCTGAACACAGCTAGTTCAGCAAGCCAGGGCTTTTATTTAGTAGCAACCATGATTTCTAACTATGGGTTTTCCCACATGTGTTATTTCATCTGGTTGTGTTCCTGTACTGCATAATTTTTTTCCTTTTCCACACATGTTTTGCTCCCTCTGATGGTCACTTCAATCTTTCATAGCTGTTTCTCCTTTCTTTATGAGCACTTTTAAAGTGCTAGTAAAAAACCCTGGAAAAACAACAATGAAAGATATAAACGACCACTAGCGGGAGCAAAATGTGCAGAAAAGAAAACAAATGTAGTACAGGCACACAACTGGCAGAAATAACATGTGCGGGAAAATCCTAGGTTTTGTAGCTGCTTTATTAACCATAATTTGTGCTCATTTTTAAAAAATTTCCTGCTTCTGAGCGTGGAGGTTCTCAGGACAGCTTATACCAAATCAATTTTTAAAAATTCATTACAATAAAAATATCCCACCCCATATATTTCTGTATGGACAATCTTAAAACAACATTAAAAGAAGCAAATTGTACTAGCAATTGTGGTTTGTTGCAGCAAATGAATTCGAAACAACAGTTTGTTCACTAGTGTTGGCTGACTCCCCTTGCAGCCTTCAGGCTACAAACACCACAGTATAAGGAAGATGTGATCCCCGCTGGGAGGAGGAAAGGAAGCAAGAAACAGACAAACGGGCTTACAGGCAATTTGCATGTTTCCCAAAGGTTCATGGGAATGATTTTAAAAGACTCACCATCTCCCAGGTGGTATACAGCAGGACTGGGCTAGCAGAAAAGGGGATTCTTGGAGATGTATTGAAGGTGCCATTCTTGAGTGCCCTTCTAATCTTTCTTCCCTGTGGAAGGGGACTCAAAAGGCATTTAAATGCTTTATGAAAGCAATTAAATGCCCTCTGAGCTGTTTTTTTTCCTAGGAACTGATGTACTCGCTGCCCTGTCCCTTGAAAAGAAACAGCTCGGAGCCTCCCCCTTTAAAGACAGGCATTCAGATTAATGAAATTAACTGTAATTTAACTGCAGTTCAAGACCCGGGTGCCGCAAGACGGGGTGAGCTCCTATCTCTAGTTCCAGCTCCTGCCAACCTAGCAGTTCGAAAGCAAGAAATTGCAAGTAGATAAATAGGGACCACTTCGGTGGGAAGGTAACAGCGTTCCGTGCGCCTTGGCGTTTAGCCATGCCGGCCACATGACCACGGGAACGTCTTCGGACAGCGCTGGCTCTTCGGCTTTGAAACGGAGATGAGCACTGCAACCCTAGAGTCGGATTTGACTGGCTTTCGAGCAAGGGAACCTTTACCTTTTTTTAACTGCCCCCTTAAAATTTAAATGCCCCCCCCAACAAACAAAATCTTGGCTATGGGCCTGCAGACAAACCAGAATTTATTACTTACGTTTGTCAACTCACCAGAGCTAGTTACAAAAACTACAGCTGAAGGAAACTGCAAGTTATCAGGAGGTGTGAATCAGGTTATCAGGTCATAGTCATCAGCCCTTATACAAGTGGAATGGGAGTGGCAGAGCACCATTTTAGTACAGTAAAAGCCATTTCTCTTTATGTTTTTCAGCTGAAGCATTGGCCACTCAGGCCAAGTTTCTCACTGCCTCACTACCAAGGGAAGACCCCTGCTATCATTTACCTAGAGAACTTGGCTGCTGTCTCTACTGCTTGGTTCTTGCTGGAATCCCTTTCACACAGAGTTCCTCATGAATAATCCAATGAGAATTTTATGGACTTTTCTCTTTCTATTCCCACGCTCTGTGTTTGCCGCTTTGTGCCAGTCTAGTACAATAGGGCATCTGCCAGGCCCACAACTGCATGAAACAGCTTTCTGTGTAAAAGAAGAAACCCTGAGGGTATAACCTTCCACCAATACTGACCCTGGACCTCATGGATCCACATTCATTAAATATTGTCACAATTAACTGTGATTCTCACAGGGACAGATTTGACTTGTATTTCAGTCTCATCATTTCCAGTAAGTCTTTAGGGAAGTTACAGAAAGGGGAGCATGCAGGGAAGATGGTGTCAGATCTCTGGGACGTGTCCCTCTTCCCTCCCTCCCCGTGTTATTCTCTTCTGGTATGCGACTGTAACTGCCAAGTTTCTCCTACAGGTGGACGACGGAGTGTTATGTCTTCTTACCTTGCTTAATTAGATTCCCGTGTGAACTACACTTGTGTTTATGGTATGAGCCGTTGGACTTCTCAGGCTGCTTCGCGCCTTTTCTAATCAACTCCATTGCGAGGGAATTGAGCCCATTGGGTTAACCAAGTTTGAAGTTCCTATATTATATTGCCCCTGTGTATTGTAGTCATTCTGGACAAAATGTCAGATCCCAAAGCAGGAGAACAAACCCACGTTCCAAAGAAGTAAGATTTATTTCCAAAGCATGGTTAATCATGAACATACAGAGAATTGTCCAGAATGACTACAATACACAGGGGCAATATAATATAGGAACTTCAAACTTGGTTAACCCAATGGGCTCAATTCCCTCGCAAGGGAGTTGATTAGAAAAGGCGCGAAGCAGCCTGAGAACTCCAACGGCTCATACCATAAACACAAGTGTAGTTCACACGGGAATCTAATTAAGCAAGGCAAGAAGACATAACACTCCGTCGTCCACCTGTAGGAGAAACTTGGCAGTTACAGTCGCATACCAGAAGAGAATAACACGGGGAGGGAGGGAAGAGGGACACGTCCCAGAGAAATGGCAGCTCGCTGACAGATGGAAGCAACCATCTGCCGGTGTAGGTTTGCCAGTCACCTCCTTTCACTGGTAGATTTATACCTAATGCAGATGTTCTTGCTCTATAATGTTCTCTTGGTCAATACTTTGTCCCTCAATACAATTAGAGCTTCTTTGCACCACACAGCTAAAATCTGATAACCATCAGCTTAAACCCCTGATAAACTGCCTGGGGTGAATATGGTTTTATTCCAAGTGGTCAGTAAAAATATCCTTCATTTCTCTTCCTAGAGAAGTAAAGAGTTTTTGTGACTTCCCCATAAAGTTTCAGGACAATTTTAATGGTTTGGGGTGTTCATCCCTTTATCTCTTCTGTTGGATTTATTTAGTGAAAAGAAACCAGTAATGTGTCTAAGAGCAAATGCATGAAGTGATAGGTGAAAGATCCAGTAGGGCAGAGGGGTATTGTCCCATGATTTCTAAGCATGTGGCAGCTGTTTTATAGCATGATGAGGCGGTTTCTACCACAATGCAGGATATCAGAGGAACTTTCTTGGAAACAACCTCCGAAATGCAGACTGGCTTCGCCTTGTATTAAATTAAGCTTTCTTCCTTTGAACTGAGCTTTTATCCCCTTATCTATAACATTTTAGCTACATGCTTTCCTTCTGCCCTTCCAAGACTTAGGTTCATCATGAAGTAAAAGAAAAAATAAATTTAAGCTTGAACCTTTCCCCTCTCCATTCCCTGTATAAGCAGATTCAGGAAATTCAACAGTATTGAAGATGCTGACACTATGAAAACAGAGCTGCCCTTTCAATTTTAAATATAAACAGAGGCCAACACTTTCCAGCAAAAACAGAGAATGCAAGCTTTATTAATGACACTTTGAGGTGTTTTGATTATGCTTTTAACAAACAAAATGAAACCTTTCACTATCTCTTGTACTTTGAGTGCATGCCTTTTTATAGGAAAAACAAAACCCTTCTGTGTAATTTCGTAAATGGATTTTGAGTATTTGCTGAAATTGATCTTTATGTAATACCTAGAAATATCAACTGTTTGGGGGTTGTGGTTGATTTTTAATAAAGTTGGGGTGGGGTGGGGCTTAATATGTTATTGTTTACATTTGGAGTTGACTTTGTGACAAATTGTTATTGAAAGTGCAAGAGTGTACGAGAAGCTAGAGGCAGAGGAAAGATTTCTGTTGTGCGTTTTGGGCAAACCTCATTGGAAAGCAGTCACAGCACTACACCGTAACAGGACTCCTTGTGGTGCAGTTTCTGTGTGCCATGAAAAGTATGGATATCAAAACTGGACATTCTAAAGGAAGTCAAGAGAGAGTGAGGATATTTCTCAACTGGGATCAAGGGACAGTATCTGCTTTAAAGGAACACCAGCTCAAAGGAACACAGAAATGGGTCCTTCTCAAGCCTGTGTATTTTTATGAATGATAATATGATACGTACTGTGTCTCTGATGTCACTGTTGTATCATTTTGATGACCTATGGAGGGTTGAAAGATTTCTCTTTTTGGCATCACCTTCTTGCCTTCCAGTAGGGGTATGAGAAGTG